AGAACTTGTTGCTCAGAGAAGTGTTCAGTTCCACGACTAATGCTGTCTGAAAGGAATAAAGCAGAGAGTGACAGAGGAGCAAAACCAATGTTTTCTACACACTGGCATAAACAGGCACATACATGTGGACATATGCCAACACACACAGGCACACAGATACACAGACACACAGACACACACTGAATTAATAACCCTGACATCACTTCCATTTTTTATAGTATATATACTAAGATATTTGGTGAGAAATTATATATTTAGCACTAGCTGGAGAAAATATGTGCATAAGAAAAATTTTATACATTTTGGGCTACAAAACACTTGCACAAATCTGAAATTTCTAAGCATTTTTTTTTCTCGTGTAAGTTCTAAATAAGGTCTGGTTCTCTTTATCAATCAAAATATCTTTTTAAAATGTTATCCATATAATGGTTGTAACTTTAAGTCCCTAAAATTAACAAATTGGTCTGATAATTGTTCAGTCTATGCTTGTTTAAAAATCTTTCCTTCTCGTGTGTCACAACCTCAGTGTACTACTATGCAGACTTGTCATTGTAGATTTAGGCAAAGAATTTGCTGGAAGCCTTGTTTACAGTCAAATAAAAAACCAAAAGTGGCTACATACCTAAAGCTTTACTGTAATAGGAATCCCATGGCTTCCAAAGCGTTTCAAACATGTAGTCCTGCATTTGGTAGGAGATGAAGTTTCTGACTCTGTCAGTGAAGGACATCTTGTCTGTGAGTTCTGACAAAATTGCAGGAACATAGGAAGGAGGGAATGGGACCTTTCCACAGTGCTTTTCTAAGGTAAAGGCTGGAGAAAACCTGAAGGAATAGATAAATGGGATTCCCAGTTTTATAGCTATGATATCACCACATGGAAATACTGGGTCTGATAAAAGTACTTCAAACTTTCCTTTCTTCAGTTTGGCCATCAGCTTTTCATTTTTAAGAACGCCATCACAAATCCCTCTGTACATCACTTGGAACTCCTTAATGACTTTGGCCATTTCATTATAGAACTTCCAGATAGTTGAAGGAGACGGCCTGTTTTCCAGCCATGTCAAAACAAAGTCCTTAAGCACACTTTCGAATTCTTCCTTGCTAAAGGGCACTGGATATATTTCAAAAGTCAGAGATGGGCTAGTTGATGGTGTGGTGAAATGCGCACCGGATGCAACAAGGACAGTCACATTATGCTCTTTCCTTATGAGCTCATCTATTATTATCTCAATATTTAGCCAGTGACTGCCTTCCATTGGCCAGATGAGAACATTCCCGCCAAGACTAATTCCCAGGAGACTTATCTGAAGAGACCACAGGAAAACGTTTTTCAACATAACGTCGCTTGACGTAGACGTCAGAAGATGTTGAACAAACTGATTTCTCCACTTTCCTAAGGCAAATAAATAAATCAATTTATTCATTTATTAAAAATACAAAAACATGGCTCAGTTTTTATTCAAATAATTGATATTTTAATAATCCTTTCTCTGCAAATGTTATTAGCAACAATAGAAACATGTTTAATGGGATCAGTTTTAAAATAAGGTGTCCTACCTTTCAATGTGATTCCTACTTTTTGACCTTTCTAAATTTGCTCCTTTGACCCTGCTTGATAGTTTCTCCTTAAATTGGTCAACTTATGTGCTCATCAACTGTACATTCAAGTGTAGATAATGTCAGCTGAAAAGGGACAAAATCTACTCAGATATGTAAGGATACTAACAGTAAGTGCTACTTGTCCTTTTTTTTTCTTTGTTTGTTTCTTTCTTTTTTTGTTCTTTTCCTGCTGTAGCACATTCATATAATTACATTACTGATGATAAAACTTTTGTTTTAATGATATAATCATATAAGTTTATGACGAAAGCACATAATATGAAAGTCAAGTACGTGCAGCACATTTATATTTATTAACATTTTACCAACACATTTGAGAAATTATTTTGTCAGTTACTGAGCGAAGTATAAGAAAATAAAATATGTACTAAAAGATATATAATGGACAAAGAGTGATGCTCTGGAAGACAGATTTTATCTAAAGGTTTCCTTATTCAAGAACAGTCTGACAGAATCCTGTTGAAAAGCAAGCTAACCAAGGGTGCAGCAGATGTTTTACATCTAAACTCAGCCCTAAGGACCTGCTAACATGTTAATATGAAAGACAGCAGAGAACACTTTGCATGTATTATTCTCAATCTTTTATCTTTTAATTTTAAAAAGAAAAGATTTACCAGAGAAGTTTTTTACACTACATTTTTTATCTGCTGCTGCCAGCCTCATCCACAGTTATATAAATGTAATTTTTAAAATAGCTATACTAGTTTACTGAACTGGACAATTGATAACGATTCACTTTATTCATGTTATTTTCATATAGCCTCTTATGATTTTTTTTATTTACTGGGCAAAAATCCTTTGTTAGTTAGAAAACTAATGCAAAGTATGCCTTTACATTTATTATATGTAAGTAATAATTAAAAATAAAGTTCATAAAATTTGCGACTGCATGAAATGTATAATTATGGAATATAGAATTGATACTTACACAATAATATGTACAGTATTAATGAATGCATATGAAATAAAATCATATTTATTAATCAACCAATACTATGTCAGAATAAACATTTTGCTGATTTGCTCACAGAAGAATTAATCATTTACTTGAGTAGGTGACTCCTTTTACACCTGAGATTTTTATGTAGAAATTGTATTCACTTTCTCATTTTTAATTATTTTGCATGCTGTATATTACACTTATATTTGAAACACATGAAAATTAAAATTAACTATATAATTTGAAAAAAAAGAAGGTGTCACAGCATGCCAACAGTTTGGCCCGGTTTGTGCAGGTGTATCGTAAGGACCATAATGGGCCTTTTTGAGACTTACCCTTTCTTTTTTCATGACTTAGTGTGCATCTTACTCCATTATGCTTCCCTAACAAAGCACAAGTCAACTCTGTACTGCAAACAGTTGAGGATTTGAGATAATTTCTCAAGTAAGCGAAGGAATTTACCTTCAGACCAAACTCAATTAACTTCTCTCTTACACATCTCCTTAAAAGCAATAAATCAATCTAAGAGGCACAATCTTGATAAAAAAATCAAAACAAAACAAAAAAACTAAGCTTATTTCTCAGTGAAATATTTTCAAGAGGAAGCAGTTAAAACAAAACAAAACAAAACAAAAACCATGCACCTCAGTTTTAGTCCAAAACTTTGTCATTGGCAATAAATCAACAAGTACATTATGCAGTATATGAGAAGGATTTCATATATTTTCCAAAGGAAGACTAACAAAAATTTTAGGTTACAAAACTCTCTCCACAAGACAAATTTTTAAAATACCCTTTCTCTAACAGACCATTTTATATTGACTATCATTATGTTGATAAATCTCTTACCTCGTATTTCTAGCAGTGCTATCAGCATTCATTTGCAGACAAGAAAAACTTGAATTTAAAGAAAAGGTAGCCAGACAAAGGGATGTGATGAGGAATATGATCTTGAGGGTAGAAAGATTAAACAGATTTGCTTACACTCTACCACCCTTCCCATTACGCCTTTTATTGAAGGTGTATATTTCCATGATGAAAGCTTGGAGATCCTGATGCTGGTTTAGCAACAAGAGCAACAACAAGACAAGTCAACTCCACAGCAAGAAGAAAGGCCAAGAAAGCAAAAGGAGAGAACACTTCATTCTGAAATACCCTTTAAAACAAATCTGGACTGCAACCTTTATGTACCTTAAACAATAGGAGTGGGCTTTCCCCTGTCAATCATATCAATAAGGACAATTCTTTAGGAGAGGCAAGTGACAAGCTGCTATGAAAACTGACTATAAGTCTGAATGTCTCATATGGAAGAGAGAGAGAGCATCTGGAGACAGTGAATGATATAAACAATAAATTTGATTCAAAGTGAAAGGGGAAATGGGTGGGCATGGGAGGCCAATGCCATGGATTTCTCCTTTGCATTTTCACTACAGAAGAGAAGAACACATTCATGAACTATTGAGATATAGATACAAAAAAGATAAAGTTTGCAAGGACTTACTGTGTACCACAGCTTTGAGAATTACACACTGGATTCAGGGAGAGTTCACCCGCAAATAAAAGGTGGGTATAATGAGCTGGATGAGCAGAGGCATGAAGGTTTGTTAGCAGATATTTATTTATTTATTTTCCAGAGTAAAACCATTGTTTTATTTTTCATTATTAACATTATTATTATTATTATTATTATTATTATTATTATTACTATTCACAATTTATTTGCTTTGTGTCTCAGTTGTCTCCCCCTCCCTCATCTCCTTCGGTTCCCACCCTTCCTATCTTTTCCTCACCTATTCCTCTTCCTTAGTCCACTGATAAGGAATGTCCTCCTCCCCTACTCTCTGACCCTAGCTTATCAGGTCCCATCAGGACTGCTTGGATCCTCTTCCTCTGTGGGCTGGTTAGGCTGCCCCACCAGAGAGAAGTGATCAAGGGGCAGGTAACAGAGCTCATGTGAGAGATTGTCTCTTTTCCTCTTACTAGGGAACCCACATGAACAGCTCATGAGCTGTCTATGGGCTACATCTGAGCAGGAGGTCTAAGTCCTCTCTTTGCATGGTTTTTGGTTGATGCATCAGTCTCTGTAGTCTGTCCCCCTCCCTCTGGGTCCTGCTCTTTTGACCTTTGTTAGTCCCCTTGTGTGTGGTTCCTGTCCAATTTGGCTCTTTTTATACCCCCCTTTTTCTGGCCAGGAGGTGGGGGCACAAGATGATAGATTATTTATATGAGCAAGGTAATTTAGCACTGGCTACACTACTGAGAACTATGACTCTCCCTTTCTCAGCAACTACTGACTTCCCTTAGATCTTTAAAGAGAGTAGGGACCAATGAGACTCTCCCACTTTGATCAATTTTTGAAGACTTTATTGTAATTTACAATGACTATGAATATTGAAACTATTTGTCAACATTTAAGTTTTATTTATTATGGGGCAAACAATACTTTTTAGTATATTACAAATATACATTATCTCTAAGGGCTATTATTCTATCACTAGATGTGGTTATAAAGCATCAAGAAATTTGCAATTTTCAAACAGACATCGTCTTTTCTCCTTAGCTAACTCCAAAGTACTAGAAAGAACCTTGTATTTCAGTGTGCCAGAGTAAACTTGACGGCCCTACAACAGAAATGCAAGAGCTGCTTTACTGCTCCAGTTCTCTGCAAGGATGGTACAGGTGGGTGCTTCTGTCATTTCTTTCACTGGAAAAAAGAAGGGACTATTCTCGAAAGTAAACACTGTATTGAAAACGAATAACTTCAAGTTCTGTACACTTTCCAAGCATGCAGATAGTTGGCCTTCTTTATCCATCCTTTATCAAAGGCACATTCTATTTTATCAATAAAACTTTATCAATTAAGCTTTAGTTAATGATTTGTGAAGATTAGCTTTAGCATTTTTCAGAAATTATGTGATTTACAAAGACACAAATTTAAGACTTTCAATAATTTCTCAAAGAAAGACATTATCAATTATGATCGTTCAAGAGTTCCTTATGATTCTGTCTGTATCATGGGGTTCTTTGAGCTCAGAGGCATTTGGTTGTCTTAATGCCAATGTTCCTGTTTCTTTCCCACTTTTATACTTGAGTATAAACTTATAGCAAGTTTCTCTGTATAAATCAGTTCAAATTGAATGATACTATTTTAATAATGATGATTTAAGTGATAACTTTATTTTTTTTCCCCTAATTTGGTACAACTGTCAGTCTTGAAATTGATAGTCAAGAAATTTACAAGCACTATTCATGGAGATAACCTAGAACCCCTGCACAGATGTAGCCCATGGCAGGTCAGTGTCCAAGTGGGTTACCTAGTAATGGGAAGAGGGACTGCCTCTGACATAATCTGATTGGCCTGCTCGTTGGTCACCTCCCCCTGAGGGGGGAGCAGCCCTACCAGGCCACAGAAGAGGACAATGCAGCCACTTTTGACAAGAACTGATAGACTAAGATCAGAAAGGAGAGGAGAACCTCCACTATCAGTGCAATTGGGGAGGGGCATGCATGCAGAAACGGGAGGGAGGGTGGGATTGGGAGGGGAGGAGGGAGGGGCTTATGGGGGGATACAAAATGAATAAAGTGTAATTAATAAAAAATAAAAAAAGTTTAAAAAAAAGAAATTTACTTAACTGTCATATGTAGAATATACTTTCGACTTTTACCTGCCTTCTAATCCTCAATATTTCCAAGTAAAAACTGTTGCCTAGAACTGGTGAACTCCAAAGGGTGCTCTACTCAAGCTATCCTATATGTCCTAGGAACAATATTTTCTTG